AAAATTCCTACAAAAATAGCTCTTGGATTTTGGTGTACTTGATGGTGGGCAGTTTACATTCCTACAGAAAATAAACTGAGTCCATTTGATCTGAAGGTAGCAGACACTGAAGGTTTCATCAGTGTTTTGATATTTCAGTGTATCCTGCACTCACTTGTGCAGTCCCTCCAGGACATAATCAGCTGTTACTACGAGGAGACCCAGTCCCTTGAGGAGGAGCATGGCATTGGAAACCATCTACTAAAATGAAGGAAGCTCCTCACTTCCAACTGAAACACTCTCTTCCACCTCAGCTTCTTCATTACCTATAGTTACAAAGTATTTATTCAAAAGATGACAAGTGGACACTATGTGAGTGTCCACTGAGGACCACAGGGCTCCTATTCAACTTCCCAACTTGTTCTTACACATCTTTTTTCGCCAATTCCCAAGGCAATGCTTCTCCAACAGAATGACTCATCTTCATTCCACAGGGTTTGTACAACCATGGAATAACTCTGCCAATACTGACGAAAGCAATGCAGTTGTTGAAAACAAATTTGAGATTGATTCACAGGTTTTTGAGAAAAACACTTTGATCTTGAGCCGGTTACTTTCTCTGAAGTCATTGCTAAGTTTGTCCTGAGGGTCTGTTGTTGTGGTTGTATTCATGGTCTTGAGAGATTTTTACTTTAATGTTGTCTTCTGATTAGGTAAAATCTTTATATAAGTTCATAGTCAAAGAAGCAGAACATGGTATATTAAAGCACATAACATTCATCTTCTTAAAGTGCCAAGTTGACATTTTGGGATATGTACCTACTCCTGAAACTATTAGCACAATTTTATGTTTAATTCTATGGAAGCAAAGGCACCAGTGATGCTCAAGAGAAGAGGAGAAAACCAAGGTTTACCACAGCAGCAGGTTCAGAGGAACTGCGTACTCCAAAGTCTGAGCCCCGAGCTAGAGCAGAATGTTAATTTTACACTGTTTATTAAGCAGGGTGGGTGGGGCTGGGAGGTTTCTGTTGTGAGGGAGTGGAACTTCATGAACATGGGAATAAACTGGAATCAGTAACAGACCTCACAGAAACGCAAGAAACACTACAGGCTATTGGCATAGTTGGATTTTGAAACATTTTAAACACTAAAGGTCTGCAAAATCAACACCATCATTCAGATCATGAACATCCATCATCTGCTTTGCCAATCCTCTGGGCTCTTCACCTTGGGGCAGCTATGGATCTGCTGGCATTCTCCATTTGCTTGTGTATTGTAGAATTTTATATAAATAGAGGCACATATTGCATGCATTGTATACACTGCTATGCTGGCTTCTCATGCAGTAAAATATACTGAAGTTCAAGCTGACACATATTAACTATGGTTATCCTCTTCATCATTGAGAACGTTTTTGACAAGGATATATCACAATTTTATCCATTCATCTGCTATTTTCAGATTTTTTCTATTACAAAGTCAGCATGAATATGTGTGAACATATCTTTGAATGAACATGTGCTTTTGTTTCTACCAATTGTTTAAGGCAGGAAGGTCAATCAGTCCTGTTCTCTATCTTAAAGTACAAGTCCCTTTTGAAAATGTTCTCACTCTCTTTCTTTCTCTCTCTAGCTCTCTCTGTCTCTGTCTCTCATCATCCTTACCGTAAAGAAATATATTTTCAGATTTGTCCCTTAGGTTTTGAGACATATTGTAGAACTTGCTGTATGTCCTATCCACAAGCTGTATCAGTGTATCTGGGATTGTTCTCTCTAGTCACATGTAAAGACTTGGGCTCCTTTCCTAGCTGTGTGGCCTCTGGTACAGGAGGGTTCAGTTGTCCATTCGCTGGTCTCCTACTCAAGAATGACCAGGTGGTGTTGAGTTTTTTGCAATTTGGTTTCACTTTTACTCACAGAACATTATGAATAACTGTGAAACATTTGCTTTCCTCTTTTGCCTGGGTATCTTTGGGACACCTCGTGGAACTGGAATGTTTGGGTCAAGGAATAATGCTTTTCATTGGAATCCAGCTGGCACAAGAAAGTGAGGAACATGCCTCTTCCTGCACTTATCTCGTGACCAGAAGTCATGGGCTAAGTTTTAAATTTTGGCAATCTGAAAGGTGAGCAACTGGCTCCGTAACTCATACCATTTTGTTTCTCTAGCTGTGTATGAACTTGAGCATTGTTTTGTGGAAAAAGTATTTGCATTTCTTTTTCTCATCAGGAAGTTCATATTTTTCTAAGCTATATCTAGAGTTGTTCTTATAAAATTAATCTCTGTATTATTAATTGTGAGATCTTTTGGTTCCAGTTATTCATTTGTGTTTTTACTTTGGGGTAATATCTTACCGTACATGTTTGTTAATGATAAGTGATCGTCTTATAGGTATTAAGAGGGACTTAATTGTAAAAAGTATGCATATGCATCAAAAAGAGTATTTTATGAAGAATCAACCTTAATGATGAGGTCTGTCGCTCCCTTTGCTGTCCACCTGTGGCTGGTCCTGGTTCAGGCTCTGAAATGTCCAGTGCACCTTGGTCTCAGTCATTGTCACCCTCTATAATGGCATCTCAATCCTTATAGCACGACCCCCACGTGAATCTTCTTTCTCCTTCCTGTCACATTTTCAGCCCCTTCCAAAGACTATTTTGAAAGCCTGGGAGTTTTGTTCCCATCTTTCTTCCCACCGAATGAGGACATGATAGTTACTGGTTTCTTGCATAAATTCAAGAGTATCCCTTCCCATTCTACCTGTTGGATGTCTTGTTTCTCTGCTCTCGTTCGCACACCATCTAGATGGATACCTGACCCTCAACAAAAGCCAAGTACACCTAGGACTTGTTCTCTGAGAGCTCCTTCTTGTGCACTCCATCTGATGATCCATAGTGTTCTCTGTGGTGAGCCATTTTTTCAATAGATTCCACTGTTACGCATCCAGTCTGCACTCAGGGCATTTGCTAAGCACCCTTTTAGACTTGGTGGGCTTCACGAAAGAATTGGAAGAAGGAGACATAAAACAATTGTGGTAAAGTGTGACACTCAAGGACAGAGGCACAGCTCACAGGTAAGGATTCATTTTAAAAGTAACTGATGTCAAGAAATAAGACACATAAACTGCTTGGAGTATTTCAGTGTGAACCCGACTTTGCCAAGTTGACAGAGGAGAAAGCAGTATTCTAGGCAAATGGAATGTTTTAGACATTAGAAATAGCAACATCCCTCACACTGGTCTTGAACCTTCTAGAGCTTTCTGCATGCTCTGTGGACCTCAACGACCTAATGTGTAACAAGTTCAGAAAAATGGAGTTTACCTCAGAGAACGCATGTGAAGAAAGGGGTGAAGAGACAACAGTGACAGAGGATAGAGACAATTCTCCACACAGAGAGAAAACACAACAAGCTGTTAATTATTAATGCATCATCTCACTTTCCCCTGGGGAAGGTACAGATATACATATGTAATCATTACTTTATTCACTAAACAGTTTTCTAAATGGCCAAACTCTTCTCTAAGTGTGTGTCTTGTGTGTCTTAAGTGTTTTTAGGATGTAGATAAAAACTTGATCCTTGATTTCAGCTTTATATCAAACACAGTATCTGTTACATACAATATAGAGAAGAAAAGCTCAGGATATTAAATATATATATATATATATATATATATATATATATATATGCACACACACACATATCTGTATACGTATACTCACTAATTCAAGGAAGTCACATGACCAGGCTTTAGAATCACTCCACTGGCCTCTCTGTTAACTTGCAAGTCGGTCCAGGCCTAAGTAACAGGGCACTGGCTGGTAGGCACACTTGAACTGTCCATGGCAATGGTCATGTTAGAGACATCTAGTCACCTGTAACACTATGACTCTCTGAGGGCAAGATAACATCACAGCTGCAGGCCATTTCAAGAGCCACAGCTGCCAGCCTCAGAGATGAAGATGATCTCTTGTTAAGCACAGACTGAGGGCTTGGGAGTCTTTGTTCCACCTTGTCAATGTCTTGATCACTGTTGAGTTTTCATCCTCAGCCATTCCTTGCCCTTTCTTGCAGGCCCTGTGATATGACACACCCAATAAATAGGGAGCAATTTGAAGAAGTCATTATCTTAGGCACAAGTGCTTTGACCTTCCTGGGCTGCCATATTGGTTACTACATTGTCTACTTTTTTTTTTTTTTTTTTTTTTTTTTTTTTTTTGGTACCAGAGATGGACCTCATGATGTCTGACTGCATGGCAGGCACTTGTGTGTCCACAGTCTTTTATCCTTTGTCATACATACACTTGCCTAAAAGATTTGCACACTATTCAATCCTAATAAATAGCAATGCTGAAAAACAGGATAATAGTAATGTAATAATTTTTAAAAGAAACCATTGTGCCATGAAGCTTTTACTACCCTTCAAAATAATGAATTAGCACATCATAACTACTTCAGATTGAGTAGATTCAATCAGTCAAAGTAGACACAAAATTTGCTGGGTTCATTTACAGCACACAGATCATTGAGATAATCCAAAGGGATGACTGTAGTCTCACTGCACATTTCCCCCTCACCCCAAGTATCCTCCTTATCCCCCTATTTTCCCACCAGTATTCCACATGACTTGCTTTGAACCTATTTGATAGCATAGGGCATTCAGTCATCCTAAAGTCCATTTTCCTCATATTTTCCTGGAAGGCAGTGCATAGAGGAAGAATTAACACTCAGTCCAGTGAAGCTAAGTCACGTAATGGGATGCAGTGTCCTACCTGGGGAAATCCGTCCCTGGAGGGAACATGAAGATGATTCACCCCACTTCACCAAACTGAATAACCTCAAACACAACAGGAAAAGGAAACGATGTCTTTTCTCTATAAAAGAATGTTTTCCAGAGAAACGCAATTATCTAATTATGTAAAAGCAACTGATGTTTTCTTAGTATAAACAAGATCCTTCCCATGGTCATAGCAGCCCTCAGCAGGGTATAAAAAGGCAGAGAGAGCAAGGAAGGAACAAACTCTGAACAGCCACTCTCCCAGAAACCCACCCAGAACCTCTGCCCCGACACCATGGTCAACTCCTGTTGTGGCTCCGTTTGCTCTGAGCAGGGCTGTGGCCAAGAGAGCTGCTGCCAGCCCAGCTGCTGCCAGCCCACCTGTTGCAGGCCCAGCTGCTGCATCTCCAGCTGCTGCAGGCCCCAGTGCTGCCAGTCTGTGTGCTGTCAGCCCACCTGCTGCAGGCCCAGCTGCTGCATCTCCAGCTGCTGCAGGCCCCAGTGCTGCCAGCCCAGCTGCTGCCAGACCACCTGCTGCAGAACCACCTGCTGCCGGCCCAGCTGCTGTGTGTCCAGCTGCTGCAGGCCCCAGTGCTGCCAGTCTGTGTGCTGCCAGCCCACCTGCTGCAGGCCCAGCTGCTGCATCTCCAGCTGCTGCAGACCCCAGTGCTGCCAGCCCAGCTGCTGCCGCCCCAGCTGCTGTTTGTCCAGCTGCTGCAGGCCCCAGTGCTGCATCTCTAGCTGCTGCCGCCCCTCCTGTGGCAGTTCCAGCTGCTGTGACTCCAGCTGCTGCCGCCGCTGCTGGTCCTGCGGATTTCGTCCTGTGTGTGGCCAGGTCTGCTGCCACACCTCTTGCTACCGCCCCACCTGTGTCATCTCCACCTGTCCCCGCCCCATGTGCTGCGCCATCCCTTGCTGCTGAGTCCCGGTGCTGATCCCTGCCCCGGGCTTCCCTTCACTTTTGTCATCACAGAAGCAGATCTCGGGAGTCTGAAGGATGACCTCAGAGAGCACATTCTCACTACCTGTGGCATCACATGCTGGCCACAGGCGAAGTCTCTTTGGTTGAACTGAATCATTACACTACCTGTTAAGAAACTAAGACGAGCTTCCAGGTCCTCTAATTTGGAACATGGAAATTCTTGCAAGGCCAATGGAAGCAAGATCACAACCTCAGAACTGAGGGTCTCTCAGGGCCACCTTCTATTTCCTGTAGGCAAGGAGACTCCAGATGTACCTGAAACTGTGTGTTTCTGGGTCTTACTGATGCTCATTTTAAATAAAAGTAAACCTTTCTTGTCATAGAAATACACCTTCTGTCAGGCTCTTTGTATTGATTGTCTTGATAGTGATAAATCACATACAAAACACAAGAGAGCTGAGCCTTCCTATTGTCTTTCTCACCTTCAGAAAAATTCCAACCTGAAACAACTAAAACAAAGAGAGAAAGAAAATAACACTACATGCATAGCTCTTTGCTGGCACTGAAGAATAATAACGACTTTAGTTTAAAGTATTAGGAATACGAAGGAGTAGGGTTAACTTGGTTGATAGCCCACAGCAAACCTTTCTGAAATATTTTTCAAAGCATATGTTTCCTTACATGTTCATTCCTGTTGTGTGCTCCAGTCCTCCTGGCTCTCTGCATCCCCTCCTTTCTTTCTCTTTCTCTCTCCCTCTCTCCTCCTTCTCTGTTCTGCCATAGTCTCTTTCCTCCCAGTGTTGGAAAGCCATAGAATCCTCTGGTTATGGATTACAGCTAAACGTTTCTCCCAGCTCCCGTGTGTTCAGAGCAGGGGTCTTTGGCGGGTGATGAAGTCTTGGGGTCCATCCTGAGCAGTGGATACAGCATTCTGTGAGTTCATGGCTGAATGCACTGTGGGAACTGGGCCTGGTTGGAAGTGGTCAGTGAACTGTGACGTGAGTGTGTGTGTTCCTGTCCCCAGCTCTGCTGCGCTTTTTCTCCATGCTTCCAGGATACAGCTCCATTACCCCAAGCATTGAATCTCTAACAACAAGATCACATCCTGAATCCCAGAATCAGCTGCCTGCAGAAAGCCCCACCTATGTCCTCACAAGGCTTTGAGGAAGATCTAGTGCAAACCAAAGCAGGAAGGATAACCAAGACACCTGAATAAAATTCAGAAAATAGTTTTGTAAGCAATAGGAATTGACCAATGTAGGTAAAATTTGAGGGACCCCTTATCTCAGAGGAAATTTAGTTAATTAACATCACCTCAAGCCTCATTAAAAATGTAAAGCATACTAGGAAAAAAACCCAAGTGATTAACATCTATGTGAATAAAAGAGAATATAAACAAAGCTAGGATTATCTTTAGCTAGGGGCCAACAATGACTTTAGAAAAATTGTTAGTGTGTGTGAAACAATAGAAAAAAATGTGACTTTCATTAACAATGTAGAATTCAGAGAAAAGTGTAAAATCCAAAAAGTTTAAAACCAAAATTAAGAATCCAAAAGGGCAAGAGATTGAGTTCAGTGGCATATGTGCCTGCCTTGCAAGTGTGAGGTTGTGAGTTCAATCCGTGATACCCCTCTCCCAAAAAAAGCAACCCAAGAAGGTTGAAACGCAGCAGATAAAACACAGTGGAAGAAAAAAATCAAAGCAGAAGTAGGAAATATGCACATCAAGGTGAGAAAAAAAAGACAGAGAGGAAAAAAAGACAAAGACAGTACAGACAAAAAGCATAAAACTCAGGAGAACATGGAGCAGTGACCTAACATAGACATCAAATGGAACCTCAGGAAAGGGAAAGCAAGAATGGGACAGAAACTATCAATGAAGAGGTACTGAGGGCCAGTTTGACAAAACTATTTCACACTATTTGTGTGTGTGTACCGGGAATCGAGCTCAGGACTGATGTATGGCAAGTTGGAACTCATGCCACTGAGCTGGAGCCCTGGCCCCAGTGTGACAAAACTGATGGAAGACTTCAAATCTGAAGGCCCAGTACATCTTGGAATCCCAAGTAGAGTGGATACTCAGTAAAATAATAGCCAGGTACACCATGCACAATTGTTGAAAACCAAAGATAGCACAGAACCACATAATATCCCACAAAAATAGCAATCAACTCATGTAGATATGATACAAAACAGCAAGGAAGTTTTCCAGAAGTTTAAAACAAGAACAGTTCTATACAACTCAGCAATTCCACTATCCCATCCCCATCTGAAAGAAGCACAATTGGGGGGAAGAGCTCTGTGTACTTCTGTGTTCACTGCAGGATTACTCCTAATAGCCAAGTACTGGAATCCACTGCTAGGTGAATAAACATATTATGGATTAGATGCAAAATGGAATATTATTCACACCTAAGAAGGAAGAATGCCTGCTGCTGGTGAGAAGATGGATGGGACGATTATGCCAAGGAAAATGAGCAAGTGGAAGAAATTAAGATACTGCATGCTCTCACTTCTTGGGGGCTGTAGAAGAGCAGAATTCCCAGAAGCAGAGTGGAATTGTGATCACCAGGGACAGGAAGGTGGTTCAGAAGAGGAGATGACAGTTACCAAGCTGCAGTCACAGGGGCTGAATGAAGGCTAGTGCCAGAACATACACTGATTGGCACTTCTGAAGAGAGAAGTGGCACGTCTGAAGAGAGAAGTGAACACTGTGAAGTGTTCACACAATGAGTGTGCACCCCTATGTGCATGCACACGCACACACACATGCATGCTTTTTCTACTTATCATGACCCCTACTTATCATGGCGCAGGGTTCCTCACTCAGAGCCACCATTTCATGAGGCATGGCAAAACTGTAATCCTCAGTTAATTCACTACCCCTTTGCTGTGGATTAGCAGGGACAATTCCAAAGACAATGTATGGCTATGCTCAGGGACAATATTCCTGGAAACGCAAATGCAATGCTTGCTTCTCTCCATTTTTTTTAACCAGCTTACATGAGCAAGATGTGCACAAAGAGGGGTTTGCCTCCTTTTAAAAAAATTCCTACAAAAATAGCTCTTGGATTTTGGTGTACTTGATGGTGGGCAGTTTACATTCCTACAGAAAATAAACTGAGTCCATTTGATCTGAAGGTAGCAGACACTGAAGGTTTCATCAGTGTTTTGATATTTCAGTGTATCCTGCACTCACTTGTGCAGTCCCTCCAGGACATAATCAGCTGTTACTACGAGGAGACCCAGTCCCTTGAGGAGGAGCATGGCATTGGAAACCATCTACTAAAATGAAGGAAGCTCCTCACTTCCAACTGAAACACTCTCTTCCACCTCAGCTTCTTCATTACCTATAGTTACAAAGTATTTATTCAAAAGATGACAAGTGGACACTATGTGAGTGTCCACTGAGGACCACAGGGCTCCTATTCAACTTCCCAACTTGTTCTTACACATCTTTTTTCGCCAATTCCCAAGGCAATGCTTCTCCAACAGAATGACTCATCTTCATTCCACAGGGTTTGTACAACCATGGAATAACTCTGCCAATACTGACGAAAGCAATGCAGTTGTTGAAAACAAATTTGAGATTGATTCACAGGTTTTTGAGAAAAACACTTTGATCTTGAGCCGGTTACTTTCTCTGAAGTCATTGCTAAGTTTGTCCTGAGGGTCTGTTGTTGTGGTTGTATTCATGGTCTTGAGAGATTTTTACTTTAATGTTGTCTTCTGATTAGGTAAAATCTTTATATAAGTTCATAGTCAAAGAAGCAGAACATGGTATATTAAAGCACATAACATTCATCTTCTTAAAGTGCCAAGTTGACATTTTGGGATATGTACCTACTCCTGAAACTATTAGCACAATTTTATGTTTAATTCTATGGAAGCAAAGGCACCAGTGATGCTCAAGAGAAGAGGAGAAAACCAAGGTTTACCACAGCAGCAGGTTCAGAGGAACTGCGTACTCCAAAGTCTGAGCCCCGAGCTAGAGCAGAATGTTAATTTTACACTGTTTATTAAGCAGGGTGGGTGGGGCTGGGAGGTTTCTGTTGTGAGGGAGTGGAACTTCATGAACATGGGAATAAACTGGAATCAGTAACAGACCTCACAGAAACGCAAGAAACACTACAGGCTATTGGCATAGTTGGATTTTGAAACATTTTAAACACTAAAGGTCTGCAAAATCAACACTATCATTCAGATCATGAACATCCATCATCTGCTTTGCCAATCCTCTGGGCTCTTCACCTTGGGGCAGCTATGGATCTGCTGGCATTCTCCATTTGCTTGTGTATTGTAGAATTTTATATAAATAGAGGCACATATTGCATGCATTGTATACACTGCTATGCTGGCTTCTCATGCAGTAAAATATACTGAAGTTCTAGCTGACACATATTAACTATGGTTATCCTCTTCATCATTGAGAACGTTTTTGACAAGGACATATCACAATTTTATCCATTCATCTGCTATTTTCAGATTTTTTCTATTACAAAGTCAGCATGAATATGTGTGAACATATCTTTGAATGAACATGTGCTTTTGTTTCTACCAATTGTTTAAGGCAGGAAGGTCAATCAGTCCTGTTCTCTATCTTAAAGTACAAGTCCCTTTTGAAAATGTTCTCACTCTCTTTCTTTCTGTCTCTCACTCCCTCTGTCTCTGTCTCTCATCATCCTTACCGTAAAGAAATATATTTTCAGATTTGTCCCTTAGGTTTTGAGACACATTGTAGAACTTGCTGTATGTCCTATCCACACGCTGTATCAGCCTATCCGGGATTGTTCTCTCTAGTCACATGTAAAGACTTGGGCTCCTTTCCTAGCTGTGTGGCCTGTGGTACAGGAGGGTTCAGTTGTCCATTCGCTGGTCTCCTACTCCAAGAATGACCAGGTGGTATTGAGTTTTTTGTAATTTGGTTTCACTTTTACTCACAGAACATTATGAATAACTGTGAAACATTTGCTTTCCTCTTTTGCCTGAGTATCTTTGGGACACCTCGTGGAACTGGAATGTTTAGGTCAAGGAATAATGCTTTTCATTGGAGTCCAGCTGGCATAAGACAGTGAGGAACATGCCTCTTCCCGCACTTATCTCGTGACCAGAGGTCATGGGCTAAGTTTTAAATTTTGGCACTCTGAAAGGTGAGCAACTGGCTCCGTAACTCATAACCATTTTGTTTCTCTAGCTGTGTATGAACTTGAGCATTGTTATGTGGAAAAAGTATTTGCATTTCCTTTTCTCATCAGGAAGTTGATATTTTTCTAAGTTATATCTAGAATTGTTTCTTATAAAATTAACCTCTGTATTATTAATTGTGAGATCTTTTGATTCCAGTTAGTCATTTGTGTTTTTACTTTGGGGTAATATCTTATCATACATGTTTGTTAATGATAAGTGATCATCTTATAGGTATTAAGAGGGACTTAATTGTAAAAAGTATGCATATGCATCAAAAAGAGTATTTAATGAAGAAACAACCTTAATGATGAGGTCTCTCGCTCCCTCTGCTGTCCATCTGTGGCTGGTCCGGGTTCACGCTCTGAAATGTCCAGTGCACCTTGGTCTCAGTCATTGTCACCCTCTAGAATGGCATCTCAATACTTATAGCATGACCCTCAACTAACTTCTTTCTGCTTCCTGTCACATTTACAGCCTCTTCCAAATACTATTTTGAAAGCCTGGGAGTTTTGCTCCCATCTTTCTTCCCACCAAATGATGACATGATAGTTACTGGTTTCTTGCATAAATTCAAGATTATCCCTTCCCGTTCTGCCTGTTGGATGTCGTGTTTCTCTGCTCACGATCACACACCATCTAGATGGATCCCTGACCCCCAACAAAAGCCAAGGACATCTAGGGCTTGTTCTCTGAAAGCTCTTCTGGTGCACTCCATCTGATTATCCAGAGTGTGCTCTGTGGTGAGTTAAGTGCCCTTTCTTTAAATAGATTGCACAGTCACCCAGCCAGCCTGCATTCAGGGCATTTGCTAAACATCCTTTTAGACTTGGTGGACTTCATTAAATGATTGGAAAAAGGAGACATAAAACAACTGTGCTAAAGTGTGACACTCAAGGACAGAGGCACAGTTCGGAGGCAAGGATTTATCTTAAAAGTAACTGATGTCAAGAAATGAGACACATAAGATGCTTGGAGTATTTCAGTGTGAACACGAGTTGACCAAGTTGACAGAGGAGAAAGCAATATTCTAGGCAAATGGAACATTTCATCCATAATAAATGGCAGCATCCTTCACACTAGTCTTGAACCTTCTAGAACTTGCTGCATGCTTTCTGGACCTCAACTACTTAATGTGTAAGAGGTTAAGAAAAATGGAGTTTACCTCAGAGAATGTATGTTAAAGAAGTGGTAACGAGACAACAGTGACAGAGGATCGAGACAATTCTCCACACAGAGAGAAAACACAACAAGCTGTTAATTATTAACGCATTATGTCACTTTCCCCTAGGGAAAGTACAGATGTAAATACGTAATGGTTAATTTGTTCACTAAACAAACAGTTTTCTAAATTGCTAAACTCTTCTCTAAGTGTGTGTCTTATGTGTCTTAAGTGCTTTTAGGATGTAGATGAAAGCATGATCCTTAATTTCTGCTTTATCTCAACCACAGTATCTGTTACATGCATTATAGACAAGAAAAGCTCAGAATGTTAAAAATACATGTATATGTAAGTATATAGATACTCACTAACTAAAGGAAGTCACATGAGCAGACTTTAGAATCACTCCACTGGCCTCTCTGTTAACTTAGGAGTCTGTCCAGGTCTAAGTGACAAGGACACTGGCTGGTAGGCAGACTTTAAGAGTCCAGGCCTGTGGTGATGTTAGAGATGGAACTCATGACGTCTGATTGCCTGGCAGGCACTTGAGTGTCTACAGTCTTTTATCCTTTTTCGTACACTTGCCTAAAAGTTTTGCAGACTACTCAATCCCAATACAGAGCATTGATGTCATACTTACTCACTGGGCCTATGTCTGAAAAACACAGAAATAGTGATGTAATAATTTTTAAAAGTAACCATTGTGCCATGAAGCTTTTACTACCCTTCAAAATAATGAATTAGCACATCATAGCTACTTCAGATTGAGTAGATTCAATCAGTCAAAGTAGACACAAAATTTGCTGGGTTCATTTACAGCACACAGATCATTGAGATAATCCAAAGGGATGACTGTAGTCTCACTGCACATTTCCCCCTCACCCCATGTATCCTTCTTATCCCCCTATTTTCGCACCAGTATTCCACATGACTTGCTTTGAACCTATTTGATAGCATAGGGGATTCAGTCATCCTAAAGTCCATTTTCCTCATATTTTCCTGGAAGGCAGTGCATAGAGGAAGAATTAACACTCAGTCCAATGAAGCTAAGTCATGTAATGGGACGCAGTGTCCTACCTGGGGAAATCCGTCTCTGGAGGAAAAATGAAGATGATTCACCCCACTTCACCAAACTGAATAACCTCAAACACAACAGGAAAAGGAAATGGTGTCTTTTCTCTATATAGGAATGTTTTCCAGAGAAACGCAATTATCTAATTATGTAAAAGCAACTGATGTTTTTAGTATAAACAAGATCCTTCCCATGGTCATAGCAGCCCTCAGCAGGGTATAAAAAGGCAGAGAGAGCAAGGAAGGAACAAACTCTGAACAGCCACTCTCCCAGAAACCCATCCAGAACCTCTGCCCCGACACCATGGTCAACTCCTGTTGTGGCTCCATCTGCTCTGAGCAGGGCTGTGGCCAAGAGAGCTACTGCCAGCCCAGCTGCTGCCAGACCACCTGTTGCAGGACCACCTGCTGCAGGCCCAGCTGCTGCATCTCCAGCTGCTGCAGGCCCCAGTGCTGCCAGCCCAGCTGCTGCCAGACCACGTGCTGCAGAACCACCTGCTGCCGGCCCAGCTGCTGTGTGTCCAGCTGCTGCAGGCCCCAGTGCTGCCAGTCTGTGTGCTGTCAGCCCACCTGCTGCAGGCCCAGCTGCTGCATCTCCAGCTGCTGCAGACCCCAGTGCTGCCAGTCCAGCTGCTGCCGCCCCAGCTGCTGTGTGTCCAGCTGCTGCAGGCCCCAGTGCTGCATCTCTAGCTGCTGCCGCCCCTCCTGTGGCAGTTCCAGCTGCTGTGGCTCCAGCTGCTGCCGCCGCTGCTGGTCCTGCGGATTTCGTCCTGTGTGTGGCCAGGTCTCCTGCCACACCTCTTGCTACCGCCCCACCTGTGTCATCTCCACCTGTCCCCGCCCCATGTGCTGCGCCATCCCTTGCTGCTGAATCTTCTCTGTAAATGCAAGGTCTCCTGATCCCTTCCTCCTTCCAGATGGAATGTTTTCTTCTAAAAACTCTGGGGCTCTGGAGAATTGATCTCCTGGATTCCCCAGCAAATCTTATTCCTGGTAATTCTGTGCACATATGCTGATTTCTCTCCCCACACCCTTGAATTCATTGAGAATCTCCTGATACATTAACAAATGCTTCTCCACTTCATTTCATCCTCTCCCAGCCAGACACCCATTCACCATGCTTAAGGAATTTGAAAACTGTTTCTGTCACTTTCAGAGCCACAGATTTAAACCCCTGTGAAACTGAAGGTCAATAAAATACCTCTTTTACAATTTACAAAATTGTCTTGTACCATTTTATTTCCATAAATCAAAGTAAGCCTACACTATAAGCACTGTGTGATTCTCTCTTTAAAATAAAGGTTTGTGTCTGGCCCCTGGCGTACACACGTGGTGTTTCTCACTCAGAGACAGATTCAGATCTTCCATTCCAGTAGAAGTCTATCCATGCTGCCCACTGCCTGCTTCCTCTAAAACTCTTTTAAACCTTGAACACCTCAGGAAATCACCTGTAGTCTTCAGAAATAAAGACTGTGTCTAAAATCATGGATTATTCTTGCATATAATAATGGGAAAGTTTTAGAAAGATTGAATATAATTCAGGATCTTTTAAAATATCCCTTCCCCATTTTTTGGCAATAAAGCAGCATATCTGTGCATTCCCCCCTCAGGGTCCTGCTCAGGGAGTCTCCCCCACATCCGCAGTGGAGGGCTGCAGGGGAATTAGCCCTGCCACACATACGGGCCGCACTTGGGCAGTCAGTGGTGCATGAGAGGGTCTGGTGGAAGCTCACAGGGATTGCTGGATGCTGTAACTTTTGTCCGTGGTCCTGTTCCACTACAGGATAGGATGGAAAGGACCCACATTCTTCTTCTGCACTAGGGATGCCCCTAACAGATCCCTCCATTTTCCAGAGTCCCTGTGAGGTCAGCTAAGGTGTCTACTGTGGCTGCCACCCAGGCCAGTTCTCCCCCTGCTAAGTCTTCCTCCCATCTCTTCCCTTCTGCAAGCATCACTCCCAAGAACAGCTGACTAAGCCTCCTGTGCTTGGCTGCTTCCTGGGGACCCCAAGCTTGGGGTCAAATTGATTTCAAATCAATTTGAAAGTGGTGACAGCTCATCTGAGAGCTAGAGGGACTGATCGATGAAATCAGTGTTTAATCTTTCAACCTATGATAGAAATAAGAGTGTAAACCAAGCGTGGAGGGGCAGGCTTATAATGCTGGCACTCTAGAAGGCTGAGATAGGAGGAGACCAGATTGCACGATTTATCAACTTTGTAAGGCTGGGTCTCGAAAGAATGAGAGAGAGAGGACAGTGGAGAGGAGGGGAAAGGACAAGGAGGAGAGGAGAAAAGAGGAGAGGAAAGGAGTGGGGAGGGGAAGGAAGGGGAAGAGAAGAAAAGGAAAGAGAAGAGGAGAGAAGAGAAGAGAAGAATGCAGGCTGCAGATGTAGCTCAGTAAAAAGTCTCTAGATTCTTCTCAGCACTGGAAAGAAAAGAAAAAAGAAGAAAATGGCACCAGTGCCATATGTGGACCAGGAGGAGAAAGAACAAGGCTGCACCAGCAAATAAGCCCAGTCTGGGAACCAAGGGCATGCACAGGCCACCGCCAGACTGGGAACAGCCAGACCCCAGCCCTTTCAGGTGCCCGGCTGGCAAACAAGAAGCACCAACTCCTCCCCATTCCCTCCCCACTTAAGTGACTGGCTGATCCGGAGACACACAGGCTGTGATGGCAGCCATGGAGGCGAAGTGCAATCGGATGCCTGTGGTGCTTTGGTGTTATAGGGGCCTTGCAGGTCTAGGGGAGTGGTCTGGATTCAGAGGATGGCAGTGTGCAGTGTGGCATCTAGGGGGGATCTCCTTCTGAAGAGTGCAGCCATTGCTGATTCCTATGGTTTTGTTTTAAAATGCTGTATCATTTCCATTGTTTTGTTGGGTTAGGTTTTATTCTCCTTTGTTTTGTTTGATATTAAATCCGATGGCACGAGCAGCTACTTCAAGGATAGCAAGACATATTATGGTACCCATTTTGGATTTACTATTGGCTTGTTTTGAAGTCCTTTATTGCATTCATTGTTTTGTTTTTACTGTTTTTATTCTATCCTGTTCTGTCTGATTTTCACTGAGTCCGAAGTTATCTGTAGCTATTTGGAGACATCAGGAGGCATTATGGTAACCACTGTAGGTTTCATAATGTTTTGAAGTCCTGTATCTCTTACACTGGCTTGTTTTGATTGGTTTTATTCTGTTCTGTCCTCTATGAAATAAAATAAGCAGAAAATATTTAAGAATCTGTACTGAAAATTATGAAATTTAGATAAACCACATTTATTCTTTTCAAGGTTTTTTATGTCATTGCATATATATATATATATATATATATATATATATATATATTGTAACACATTTAAAAATCTAAACAATAGGAAGAACATGACCCAAAGGAAGTTTTCCATGAGTCCTCTTTGCCAGTCTCCTGCAAGGCCTGCTCTCATGAGCTGCGTCTTTACTAAACGTTTGTGCACCCCATGGTCATTCACTCACACACGGGCCTTAGCTGAGTGTTCCTCACTCAGACACAGATTCAAATCTCCCCTTCAGCAGACGTTACTCCTCCCCTCTTGCAGGCCGGTGCCATGTGCACCTGGAATGTCTCCAAAAGCTCGTGTGTTGGAGGTTTGGTCCTCGAAGCAGCTGTGTCCAGATGTGGGAGCCTCAGGGAACAACTGGGTCACGGGTTGTGGAGAAGCAATGGGCACTGTAGGAGCCTTTCAGGAGTCCACTGCGTCCACGGCCCTTTCTCTTGCCCCTTTCTCTGCTTCCTGACCACCATGAGGAGAGCAGCTTTGCTCCTCCACTTACCCCTCTGTGGTTACTGCCTCACTATGGACCTAGAAACAGCCCAGACCGGCAGGTGTGGACCAAAACCTTAGAAACTGTGACGAAGAATCAATCTCTCCTCCTTTTGGCTGATTTTCTCTGGTTCTTTGTCTCAGAGATGGAAACACGACTGACACACGGGCCAAACACAGGGCTCGGCAGATTTATTTACTTATTTCTATATGCATTCTAAGAAGGCTGAGCCCATTTGCCCCACTAACTTTTAGGAAGGGTTATTTGTAGTGCATTAGAAATGTACTGACTTTTAGTTCACGTTTTAGTGACCTCTTTGTGGATACCAACACTCCGCTGATTTTCTAGAGTATTTGGAGGTTGTAACACGTCAGCAGAGAGCTTCTGGACATGGGCCTGTCCCTGGATGCACCATGGAAAGCCCATTGTTAACGTTTCGGGAACTTTCTTCCTCTCTTGTCTCACCCCAATTTGTCACCGGTACTTCCTGGGATCTCCCTTCAGTGATCTTCTTGCACCCAAATCTGTGTTCAAGTCGTACATTGGGTAAAATCAAAGCTACATAACTGATGTTTGGGAAATGCCATGGCTGATCCAAATCCAACTGGTAATGGGTTTTTTTCTATCAATAAATGTAAAGCTGAGAAATCAGGAGGTGGAGGAGGATCACTGCTGTCACCTGGCATGCGCCTCTACCTGTCTTATCCTTGTACGAACACAGGCACCTGAGGTAAGGATTGCGTGCATGGGTATCCATAAACAGGTCTCATCCTACAAATTGAGCCTTGCTGTCTAGAGCTTTCGTATATCACTTAACAGGTGACACGCCGCTTACCACATAAACAAAGGTAGCTTTGTTCAAATGGAGCTGTGGCCCATTTTCCTTGGAATGTCTCCTTTCTTTCCTCTGGGAGTCGAAAGATAAACATTATTTTTTATTATTACAGGACCAATCCAAGTCCCCTCCTACATCATCAAAAAGTCTTCACTCACTTCCCAAGCATTTATCACTAGTGTCTTCTTCCCTACCTTGTGCCGAGCAACGTGGTTCATCAGCCACAATAATTGCCACCATGGCTTGTGCCTTTGGGGTATCTGAACTGCACCGGGGGGAAACAGAAGTTAGGGACTGCTGTATGACACAGGGTGTCACATTAGCAACCCATCGCAATCAGAAGAGATGTCGCTGAGGAGGAAGCACTTCTGCTGGCTCTTGGTAAGTGAGCAGGAGTCTGTGGAGCTGGTGAAGAGGCCACAGCTGGCCAAGAAGAGGACACAGTGCCAGCAAAGGTGAGCAGGTTCATTCATCACCCAGCCTTGGTTCCTCACAGACAGGGGAGGCCTACTTCTCTCCTTTATTGTCAGATACATTTTTTGGTTTGTTTTAACTTCTCTGTGCTCCTTTTGTTCTTCACTAGAGTAATAAGGTGAACATCCACTACTTCATGTGGTTGCATTAAAGATTAAAAACAAACACAGTTTTCCAGTGCTTGACACACACAAAGGACGTCACAAAGGACACACACACACACACAACTGAGTGTATGCAGAATTTACCCACACCCTGTATTTTGGGTTTAGTAGCATATTTAAAATAGTTGCAGTTCTTTAATTTTTTGCCAACTTTTCCCCCATGCATGTGTCTTTCTCAAGCAGCCTCAGGAGGAGCCAAGCACTCTCCTGCTCCATCTCCAGGGCAGCTAGCAGAATCTCTGAAATGCATGATATACACAGCACTGCTTCTATATAAAACACTGTGACAACTTGGCTGTGCAATTGAGAGCAAAAGGATAAATCAAAGCTCCATCCTTATTGGCTACCCTGGGAAACATATGGTGGAAATAGGATTGTAGTCTGGAAAGCACTGAGTCACTGCCAAGGGTCTCAGGGGAGACCCACTGCCCCCAGTATGAGATGGTTTAGGGCTAACCTGGATCGACCATCGGGCACTCACATGTGATCACCGCTACCCTCACTCCAGAGGGAACATCTTCCCTCCAATGGGTCACTCCAACACTTCCCCCGACCAGAACATTCCTTTATGACAACAGCAACAATAGTAAAAATACCCTAGCATTGTGAAAATCATCCTCTGTTCTCTCACATGCTTGTTACTATTTTCAAACAATGTAAAGATGGGGGACAATACTGCCCTCAAAAGCCAAGCACCTGAATACTGTACCCTGATGTACGCAGACCCCCTCCTTGGCCATAAAGAGGAGCAAAACCAGGAAAATGGAGCTCGAGACTATACTGTCACCTGAAATAAGTCAGACACAGGAAGTCAGCCCTTGCATGGCTTCTCTTAGATGAGAAAACGAACACACAAGAAAGGAAAAGAGTAAAATAAAAGACAGACAGTGCAAGGGTTTTGGCCCAAGCCAGACACTGTAGCTGGAAAAGCCTCAGCCAGAAACCAAGGAGCTCCTATCTCCTCCACCCCTGGGAATTTACCCATGGCACCAAATAAAGACCAATGGGTTACCTGTGCATCCCTAATGCCCCCTTAAGTTCCACCCCAAACCAAGGCTACTTATATGCCTCACTCCACGTGTTCCACGGAGAGCTGACCCCGGGGTGGAGGTGCTGCACCCCAGGGGATCAGGGGTGTCTCTCCCTGCATTCTCAAAATAAAGGTCATTTATATTTCATACTTCTTATCTTTTCAGCCACCGCTGGTCCCCCACAGTTCTATCACATGGTTCCCTGACTAGAAACGGCAGATGAGAGACTCCTGGGGCTGGCTGCCAGTTTGAGTCTCCTGCTGTTCAGGACCAGGACTGGACTGCATCCTGCATTAATTCCTCACTTCTGCACTTGGGAGCTATAAGCTTGTTGCTGCCAGTTTGCAAACCACACCCACCCAGTTTACCACAGGTGAGCAACGCCCGGAGATTGCCACTGGGCCAGGCCCCAGGCGGGTTTTCTCCTCCTTTCCATGGGTTCGCGTGACACTCTCACGTCCTTAGATAGCCCAAGGCAGGGTCTTTCTGGGCAACCTGTGTCCACACTGGAGGACTCTCACATCCTTTGGGTTCAGATAGCCCAAAGCAGAGTTTTCCTGGACCAACCCACACTGAGAGACTCTCACGTCCTTCAGAGCTTTTTAAGTTCTCACGGGCAGAGCTGTTACTAGATCCACGTGAAGTCCACTCATAATATTGGTGATGGCCAATTATTAGGAGTTCTGGAGCCATATAATATACCAATCGGTCTGCAGTAAAAAGTGATGACTTTGAACTTGGCAGACCATGGTCCGTTGCCTCATCTGGCTGTAATTCCATGAGCTAGACCCCACACCAGATTTTATCTTGGGGACTACTTCCTGTCCCCCCCCCCCAAACCATACCTATCTATGGCTTATCACACTGACAAGTTTACAAAAACTCTCTATCTTTAAGCCTTTGTTTTGGGAATGTGACCTTTCCTGCCAGGGTCCCCGTCCTCTTTGTCTCCTCGCCGCTTCCCCACCACCTGCCGTGCCCACTGTGTGTGCCAACCCATTCCCCGCCGAGATGGTAAATGAGCCCAAATAGTGGTGAGAGATATGCGCGGGACTGCTTTAAGCTTTGGGCTTTCACGCTGCCCCCAACTCTGCATGTGGTATCTCGGCTCTCATCCCGCACTCCAGGTCCATGCATGGGTTCAGCTTTAATGCTGCACCCTAATCTGCACATCCCGTGGGCAGTTTCAGCTCCACATGGCGGTTTGGCTCCATGTTGGTCGGCTACCAGCTGCATGCCTCCGGGAGCAGCCCCAGCTTCATGCTGCATTGAGCCATCTCCCAGCTCCGCCCCCATGCATGGGCAGGCCTGCCACAGCGAGCCTGCCAGCACCTCCGCCTTGAACGTTTCCAGGGGCAGTCCCAGCCCGCCCCTGCACGCTGCATCCCAATGCTCACCCCACCCACTCTGCATGCTCCAGCTACACGCTGCATGCCAGAGAGATCCCAGCCCCGCCCCCAAGCACAGGTACAGCTCTCTGCAAGCACACTCTGTCTGCCAGTGCAAACAGGCACCACAGATAACTCATTATATTGCTGATCTGATGCTGTTTGTGTTTTCAGATATAAAGTTCAGATTGTTTCTGCTGCCATTTTGTGTGTGTGTGTTCCAGCCATGACAAACGTTTTCTTTTAGATCCAGATATATACATTCCTTTGCTGGGAACCACTAGCTCTGTTCCAAGACAAGGATTTTGTTAAAAGTGTTAATGTTGTCTGAGAAGTGAGAAGAAAGGTAATTGACTGGTAACTTGAGGGTATATAGTAAGTTGTAAAAAGCTCGAAAAGATAAAGAAAGTGGTTTTGTCTTCAACTTGAGGGTATATAGTAAGTTGTAGAAAGCTCGAGAGGATGTAAATTTTATTTGTCTTGGTCTATAGTACTGCAAATAACAGGTTTGAAAAGAAGTAAATTTGTTCAGAATTTGACAGTATTAGATCAGTTTTGGTAGATTTATTCATAAGATTGGTGAACCTTTACTGCAAAATGTTTCCATTAAAATGAGATTATACTCCAAAAGAGGGAGGGCAGACTAAAGCCTTTTTGTTAAGTATGTAATTCCACATGGCACCCTGGAAAAAAGCGGTGTGCCATCCAGATAAAGCCTGCTTTCTGATCTGAAATGCCAAAACCATGTTTACATTACAGTCCACTCAAAGAGGGCAGCGGGACCAGCACTGCAGCACAAGCCAAACTTAAACCTTATATATATGACATAAATAACATGTCAGTTCCTAAAGTTCTCTGGACCTTGTCCTCCTTATGGGAAGTCATTACTAAAGTTATAAATACCCTGTTGACTCCTACATACTTACTTAATTCTACAGATACCTTCTACTGTAGTCCAAATCCCAAACAAAAAGGCAAAACTTGACCTTCAAACCTTATAGAGGTCTTAATATGGCTTTTCATATTTTCAACAACAGAAATAACACTTGGAGTTCTGAGACAGGTAAACCTACACAAGGTGTAGCTGCCTACCCCCGCCCCATGGGCCATGCTCAAATGCAGCAGAAGACATTGGGTAAGAGAGTGCCCCTTCCTGACGTTCTTTGAGACCTTACTCCAGGGCTACTGGACTGTCCTAGCCACCAGAGAGTGGGTAAGCCATCCTAACTTCTAGCCCTCACAGGAAATGCCAACACTGCCAGATTCATCGCTGAAACTTGCTGCCAAAGTCTGACGGGGCTCAGGGCCAACAGCCCCCTTTATAGGTGTCCATCTCAGAGTCCAAGTCACACTAAAAGTCTCAGGTAAGACATTCTCTATATTTGTGAACATAGAGGCCATATATACAGAGTTCTTCCTGAGTTTTCAGGCTGCTATAGTAAGTCCTCAATCTCTATGACAGGGTATTGGTGATCAACCTATGCCATTTATAAACAGGGCCTATTTCTTGCAGGTCCCAGTCCTAAATCTTAAAATGCCTTTTATTCCCTTGTGTTTATACAGGCTGACTTAGACACACTGAGGCCTCAACAGTGTCCACCTGTTATTGCTAGTAAACCTCTCCTCCGTGATATAAGACCATCCCCTTCCTTTCTTATTCACCAATTTCTCAGGAAACCCTGGTCAAGACTGACAGATACATTTTATCTTCTCACTTTGTTTATACTTTTTCAGGATACATGGAAGCCTTTCCCACAACCAGGGAAACTGATGACCAGGTTACAGCAACCCATACCTGATATTCTTGGTAACCTCAACAGCAATCAAAGTTGCTAGACTGCCATTCTGGTTTCGCATCACTCAGGCCCTAGATCTAACCACCCTGTTGCCTACTCATCTCTGCCTTATCAAAGCCTCACAGCCACGACTCACAGGCTAAGTCATGTTTTGTTATTCAATTTGTTTCCTAATTTCTTACGTCCTATTAATGATCATTTTTACAGCAGGACTCTTAATAGTATTTCCTACAGACTCCAACGTCATGCATACCAGAGACAAGCCTTTCCTACTTACCTTTTAACTTTTACCCTTTCAGGTGGGGGACTAATTACCTCTCATAACTTCACTCCTCCTAACCCCACGTTTAATTTTCAGAATTCTGCCTTACCATGCAAATGTTTCTACCTCAACATGGTCCTGATACAATGACATGTCTAAATCAAAAGCACCTTTTCTTCTACCTCACCTGGGTCCTTAAATATGACAGTGCCATGCCTCCTCATAATATCTTGTCTCTTTGTTTTTCCAGTCTAACATACGTGCATTCACCAGTGAAGTTGTCCTGGCTAAACCACCTGGCACCAGCTTCTCCCTGGGCATCAACTGTCATCCTGTCAACTCCCCTAGACCCCTGTATAGTACCTCCCAGCAGGAAGCAGTTAAAGTAAGAAATCTTGGCCCCTTTTCATAATAATAATCATAAGACGGGGTATGAAAGGGTTTTGGCCCAGGCCGGACACTGTAACTGGAAAAGCCTCAGCCAGAACCAAGGAGTTCCTATCTCCCCACCCCTAGGGATTTACCTATGGCACCAAACAAAGACCAATGGGCTACCTGTGCATCCCTAATGCCCCCTTAGGTTCCACCCCAAACCGAGGCTACTTATGTGCCTCACTCCATGTGTTCCACAGAGAGATTGCCAACCCTGGGATGGAGATGCCGCACCCCAGGGGACTGGGGGTGTCTCTCCCCGCATTCTCAAAATAAAGGTCATTTATATTTCATACTTCTTATCTTTTCAGCCGCTGCCGGTCCCCCAGAGTTCTATCAGACAGGAACAGACAGGCAGATTGCTGCCTGTCAGGGAGGGTGTAAAGTGACTGAAAATGACCCAGATAAGGTAGATTTGTACCCATTCCCCAATAGGAAGGTGGCATGATGATCATAAACACAGACTAATGAGGAAAAAGAGAAAACAAATGCCAGACAGTCATGAGACAAGTACTTCACAAAAGACCATGCCTAACTCACTTTTTAAAGTGACACAAAGAAAGAAATATGACAAATATTTTTAGTGGAAACACCGAGGAAAAGGAAGTATATCCTTCACTTCTTTTTGGAACATTAGGAACACACTATTATATAATTAAATGATTCAGTTTTCCAGGAAGGTAAATAATAGCAAAGAAATAACGAATGGGGATAGGAGGCCTCCAGCGGGTATAAAAGGGGCCCATGGCAGGGAGGCTTCCACTCCTCACAGACCTCCACCTCCCAAACTCACCCAGAACCTCAGCCCCGACACAATGGTCAACTCCTGTTGTGGCTCCGTCTGCTCTGAGCAGGGCTGTGGCCAAGAGAGCTGCTGCCAGCCCAGCTGCTGCCAGACCACCTGTTGCAGGACCACCTGCTGCAGGCCCAGCTGCTGCATCTCCAGTTGCTGCAGGCCCCAGTGCTGCCAGCCCAGCTGCTGCCAAACCACCTGCTGCAGGACCACCTGCTGCCGGCCCAGCTGCTGTGTGTCCAGCTGCTGCAGGCCCCAGTGCTGCCAGTCTGTGTGCTGCCAGCCCACCTGCTGCAGGCCCAGCTGCTGCATCTCCAGCTGCTGCAGGCCCCAGTGCTGCCAGCCCAGCTGCTGCCAGACCACCTGCTGCAGGACCACCTGCTGCCAGCCTAGCTGCTGTGTGTCCAGCTGCTGCAGACCCCAGTGCTGCCAGTCTGTGTGCTGCGAGCCCACCTGCTGCAGGCCCAGCTGCTGCATCTCCAGCTGCTGCAGGCCTCAGTGCTGCATCTCTAGCTGCTGCCGCCCCTCCTGTGGCAGTTCCAGCTGCTGTGACTCCAGCTGCTGCCGCCGCTGCTGGTCCTGCGGATTTCGTCCTGTGTGTGGCCAGGTCTCCTGCCACACCTCTTGCTACCGCCCCACCTGTGTCATCTCCACCTGTCCCCGCCCCATGTGCTGTGCCATCCCTTGCTGCTGAGCCCGTCCTGTGGCCACCTCCTCCTTCTCGTCAGTACTCACAGAAGTCCACTTATGCTTTGTGCTAACCCACAGGCCAAAACAAGATGGGGCTCGTGATGCCCATGGGCCCAGAACCTTCCCAGTAGATTCTGGGGCCCTCACCTGATTCCTATTAAGATCCTTTGTTTGCTGTCTTTTCCTTCCGATGTTGACACTAAATATGAACTAATTTATATTCCACCTGCCAGGAAATTAGCCCAAACCTCCCAATTCCTACTTTTCTCGTGGGCTCCATTGCTCTTCCCATCAGCGGGTTGGGCCAGAACCACCCTTTTCCTCATGGCTCTGATCGGTTCTCTTGTTTCTTTTAGTGCTTGCTGAAATTTCTTATGTTTTGTTGCTTCTCTGCTTTCTAATAAATATTTCTGCATCTAAAAACATATTTTTCTCCATTTTTTCATACTCATTGCACCCTGTAACTTGGTAATTATATTTTACATGAAACCTCTGTTGAAATACTTTAAAACTCAAGACTATGTGAAGGATACGTAAGTTTAAAAGTTAGCCCCACAGTGGTGCTGGTGCACATGTGTGTCCCAGGTTAGGAAACGTTAATTCATCTTTTACCTCGGAGTCACCACACACTGCACCCTCGACACACTGTACCTCTTAATGGCCTGAGCTTTGCTTTTTACTGAAAAAGGTAAAACCAAGTTTCTGGAAGAAAAAAAGGCGGGTATTGATGAAAGAAGGAAAGCCTCCTATAAGGAGTTTAATGATATGATTAGAGAGGATTTTTAAATAGAAGTTTAATAAAGTCAATTTTGTAAACACAAGAGGACAAAGCAATTGTGAACAGAAAAAACACAGTGAGACTGAGCAGAGAGAAAGAAAAAGAGAGACCAAGAGGGAACAGCTTGGCCAGAGGCACAGCCAGCCACAGAGAGTGCTTCTTAAAAACGGTGACACTCACGCATGTTTATAGTACGTGCTAGCAAGTTACAATCAAGTGATTATTTAGATACTAACATAAATTAAGAAACTAATTCCAGAAGGTGTAGAGAACATAAATAACCCGATAACCACGAAAGAAGCTGAACCTATGACCCAGCTGAACATCTGCACCCACAGAAGTTAGGGGGTGTGTGTGGAAGACTCCAGAGCCGCCTACTGAGAGACAGGCAGGATAACCCTGAAGCGGGGTCCCCAGCCCCCAGGCGGGTTAGGGATCTGGCCACGCGGGAAGGTGAGCTTCGTTTGTATTTGCAGGTACTCCGCATCACTGGCTGGCAATACCTGAGCTCCACCTCCTGTCAGATCAGCGGTGCCATCAGGTTCTCACAGGGGACCCACCCTCCTGTGACCTGCACAGGCGAGGGACCCAGGGTGCCACTCCTTGTGAGAATCTAATGCAATAGTAATAGATACACAGCATGCAAAGAAATAACATAACTACAGCACACATAAATGAACGCACTTGAATAATCCCAGAACCCCCACCTTTCCATTATCTTCTGAGGGAAAGTTGTCTACCACAGTGTAGATAGCCAATAAACACATGGAAAAGCATTCCATGTCGCTGGCCATGGCAGAAATGCACAATAAAACAACACTGAGATTCCATCTTACCCCAGAGAGAGCTGCCATCATTAGGACACCAAGTAACAACAAATGCTGGTGAGGTGGTGCAGGAGGAATCTACACGGAGTTTCTTCGGAAAACTATAACTAGAAATTCCACTTGATCAAGTACTCCAAGTACTTCTAGGAATCTTACCGAAAGCTAAGGTCATCATTTTACAGTGACAAATGCACACTTGTGTTTATAGCACATGATTCATAACGTTAAATGTTGGAAGTAGCCTATGCATCCTTACCAGATGAAGATAAGGAAATATAATTTACACACAATGGAGTACTATTCTGCCATAAAGAAGGACACACCCAGAGGCATTTGTAGGTAAATTTATGCCCTTGAGACCATGATAGCAGGTAAAAAATAAATCAGACATGCACAGAATATTTTGGTCTTTTTTTTTGAGACAGGGTTTGGGGATGCAATTCAGGCTGGCCTTAAGCTCACTTTGTAGCCTAGGCTGGTCTTGCACTCACAACAATCCTCCTGCCTCAGCCTCCAGAGTGCTGGGATTATAGGCATGAGCCACCATGCCTGGCTCCACGCACTGTATTTAGTAACTCCTAGATGAGAAACTTTAAAATATAAAGAGCAAAATAAAGATAGATAATAGGAAGAAGAGAAATTTGTTTCAAATGGGAAAGGGAATCAGAGAAGGAGCAAGGAGGAAAGGAAGGGGAAAAGGATGTTAAAAGGAGAGAATAGAAGAAAAATGGAAATAGAGCTTTTTCAAATAAAAAGGGAATCAAGAGTTAGAAGGCGCAGGAAGGGAGGAGAAGGGAAGGAGACAAAAAAGAATTAAGATGGTCACGTGCACCTATAACTCCCCCCACAGTGAGTGCAATGAATATGCACGGCAAACATGCAGCAGTAAAAATATACAACTGAAAATGCCAAAAATATCGGGAACCATTACCTTAGTGTCTCCTTTTATTCAAACTGGAAAAATAAAAGAATACCAATACCAAAAGAGAGAGAAAGAGAGAGAGAGAGAGAGAGAGAGAGAGAGAGATCCTCCCAACTCATTTTAATTATAATTTCAAAACCAGAAAAGAACAGTGTGATAAAGGGCTTTTATTGCCCTATATTACTGAAGATTATAGCAGCAAAAATCTAATAAATACGCATAAGTAAAATTTAACAACCTTTAAAGGAATACTACAGCATAGCCAACTGGAGATTAGAAATTTAGGAATGTTTCACAATGAAGAAATGTGTAAGCGCACGTTATGATATTAGTACAGGAACGGAAGCAGGCTGCCTGACCCTGCCAGGAGCCAGCTCACGTCGTTATGGAAATGCAAGTTCCCGGACCCTGTGCGGGTAAGAAGGGGCTCCCAGAAAGCTGAAGGTTCGGTGCCAGCCCCCGCGTCTGCAGCCTCAACACCATGAGGATCGGATGGGCTGAAGCCAGGCAAAGACGGGTATCAGGATGGTGAGGCAGGAGATGCCCCCTCACCCAGATTTGCTTGTGGTAACTGAGGCTTCCCTGGACTGGCTCAGGCCCATCCACAGCACAGAGGGCAGCGCGGCCAGAACGCTGTGGGGCCCATGCCTGGCATTAGAGTTTCAAATGTGTGGGGAGGGGGTGTGAAAGGAGCGCAAGTGGATTCCTGTGCTGGGCAACAGCACAGGAAGCAGAACCGAACCTGGGACACAGATGAGCCAGCTCACGTACCATCCCGAGCAGAAACAGCAAATTGTGGAAGATTTGCAATAAGACGTTAATTTTAAAAACTTAAGACACATTGCCGAGAACAATGGGGTAAGTGTGTCCAGAATCAGGGGGTCGTATTTTGAGTGTTTTAAAGGGTATTAATAACAATTTTTTTCAAAATAATTCTTCTGTTTTAAAAGGAATAAAACAAAACAATAAAACAGAACAAAGCAATGAGAATGATATTGGACTTCAAAAAAAGACAGTAGGAAATCCATTGTAGTTACTATATTGCATATTATTTTCTTAATAGATGCTCAGATGCCAGGTTTAGGTTTGCCAAGGCAATCAAACAATGAAAGCATTAATTCCTGTGTTCCTCCAAATCAACAACTGGGATCTCATCTTATTAAAAAGTTTTCGCACAGAAAAAGAAATCACCTTCTCAAATTTGGCCTACACAGATTGAAGAACTGAAGTGAGAATTCTACACAGGTGACCAAAATCCACAGTGAGTAAACAAAGCCAAGATTTATTGAGCCCTGGCTTAGAACTTGCAATTACAACTTTGGGTACTATCAGAAATTATTCTCTAAAATCATGTTCTATAATGTTCTATAATATTCTATCATATTCTGTAGTATTCTATATAATCATGTTCTATAATGTTCTATGATATTCAAACAGAACAATTCAGCAGAAAGTTAAAATTACATAGCACCATAGCTTCTCAACTATTGAAAGACTTTCTATGCCTGCTGCTTCTAGGTCAGCAGGAGTTGGGGGAAGCCCAGCTTCATGTGTACAGACAGACTGAACATGTAACAGGCTGTTTCAGTTACATAACAAATCGCCCCAAGCCTAATGCTTAAAACAACTAAAATATATTTTAATGCCCCAACACCCTGAACATACTTCTGTTGATCTTGCTTGGGTTCATTCATGAAACTGCCTGGTCTCAAAGTTCAACTGGGGCTAAATGTCCCCAACAGCCTCATTTATTGCTCTGTTTAGTACTTGTCTTAGTTAGCTTTGTATTAATGTAACAAAACAAAACAAACAAACAAAAAAAAAACCCCCAGGCAATGAATGTATAAAGAAGAAAGTTTTATTTTGGCTCATAATTTTGGAGGTTTCATTCCCCTTCCCTATGTCAAGTTTCTCATTGCTGAGATACAACACCTGACACACACAACTGAAGAGATTTAATTGGCTCATGGTTCCCGGGAGTCAGTCCATGGTCGGCTGGATCTAAGGCAGAAATGTCAAGGCAGAGGACATGGTGGAGGAAAGCTGATCAACCCATGTCATTCAGGAAACAGAGAAAGAGAGAAGGGTAAGGCTGGGAGATAGAATACTCCCTGCCAGATCACCCCCCACTGACCCCATTTTTCCAGTAGCGCCCAGCTCCTGAGGGCCACGCCCAGCTCTGAGCTCCTTGGGGGACTATAAGTGAGTACAGCATCCTCATCAGCTGATCACCTCCAAGAGCTCCATCTCTGCACACAGGAGATTCTGGAGGGGAATCACATCTAACCACAAGAGTGCCACTGGCTAGGAACAAGGCTTTTAAACACGTGGACCTTTAGGGGCACTTCTCAGAGCTAACACAGAACTGCATCTCAGCTGGGTGTGGTGGCCTTTCATCACCTGCCAGGCACTGCCGGGTTTCTTTGCAGCACAGCAAAGCTTCAAGGTGGGAGGCTTAGGTCCCAAATCTTCCATCCCATTCTGTCAGCCAAGGAGAGTTTTCAGGCCAAACAGCTGCGCTAAGGCTGGCAGTGGGGCAGCGGGGCAGAGTGGGAGCTGTGTGGGGCGAAGGTCGGTGCTGGACTCCTCTGCTCGCTACCTGACCGTTCCTTGCTTGGAATGTTGAGTAGCAGCACTTCTTCACCCAGATGAGCCGAGGGTGTTAGACATTTATGGGTGACAATCTGACCATTTGGGCCACAGCTCTTTGAAGAGAAGGAGTCACAGGTAACAGCAGCCTTGTGTATTTACAAGAGGTAAACTGAGGTGAATGGAACCTGCAGACTGTGCCCTGGTCCCAGGTGTGACCCGAAACCCGCTGCTCATGAATTACAAGGACTTTTTATCAGATCCTTGTGACAAAAGAGACCGAGGACTACACCTGATGAAAACAGCA